AATTAAAATAAACTTATATACAGTTGTACACTGTAGGATTCCTCAGACTGTCCATGTACCGCTCTCTATCTGTTGTAGGGACGGCCTTAGTACGTCCTTAATTAAAATAAACTTATATACACTGTAGCATTCCTCATACTGTCCATGTACCGCTCTCTATCTGTTGTAAAAAGTACCTCCTTGATTCATTTCTGTATCTGCTGTATAGAGGACCTTAGTACGTCCTTAATTAGTACAATCTCATAAAACATTCATCAAATTGTTCATGTTCTTCTCTTTATCCCACATTATGCCTTTTATTGTATACAAATAAATGCATTCTTGGAATATACATGTATATCCTCCCGCTTGCAGGACATGTTATATGGATGTTATTACATGTAACACCAAATGTTGTTGAAATTATACCTTTTATTGGTGAGTTATTGCACGAAAACGTTGTATCCAGACAGATGTACGCAACCTAAATAAGTATACGTAAATATGTACCAAATTAAAGAGACATTAATTATTTTATAAACATGCACGCATAGATTTGGAAATCAAAGTAGAAATAAGAATTGCCAATATGAATGTGCGCACCATATTTTGTTCAAATCGAACCACTTTTAGCGGAGTTATTTCACGGAACCAAGTGTAGTAGAGGGACAGACAGACCCCAATGCATATTTCTTGTTCTTTCCGTTTGAGATGCATTGATACTTGTACATCTGTACAACTACCTGACATTTGGTTAGTGATATTAACCCTGTTTAGGTAATTGACGCGTTATTGAACTACAGTTTCCTTATGTTAACATGGTAACTGCTGTACGTTATTTAATAAGCATTCAAAACTATGTTTTCATCACATTTTAATATAGGAACATCTGCAGTTATTTTATATCTTAAGCCAGTAAACAAATATATTAAGGACAAGGAAATCCCCCTGTCGTAACAGGTGTGTTAAATCACGTCAACAGTAGCAGATCACAGAAAATGATAGAACTCCGATTTGGTGGAAACCAGGCGATCAACGTTTTTATTTCATCGAAGTTCTCGAGGGCCATTTGATACATTCTGATACTAGTGTTAGGAATCACAAGTACACTCTATAAGTTTGATGTTTCTATTACATTCCTTATAATTTCCCTTTCCTAGCAGAAACGCACTTTCGCAATCACGCTGTTTATAACGTAAACGCTGCACGGTATCTCCCTTGATATACTGGATGAGACACTGGAAAATTGCACTACAGCTTCTCTGAGAGTATTTTGATTAGTAAAGGAAACAGGAAGAAGTCACATAGACTTATATATGTAGATCTGGTGGATAGGGTAGGTGGTCAATCTGTGCTATATTCTCTTGCCTCAAAACCCCCTATGCACTATTGTTTTTGTGAGATTAGGCATTGTCGTGATTTTTACAGGCTTCGGTAATTTGTCTCTGTAAGAATTTTCTTGATAAAAATGCATCTGTGTAAATTTTCGTCTTTTGTTTTGCAAAAAGGAAAACTAGAAGAACTAATCCTAAACTAGAACATAAAGGATATTGATGGGAAAACAAATCATTACACAATACTTTGGTTAAATGTATACTGGTTCTGCTGTTTAGTTCTGCAGGGTTTTACTTGTATTAAGAAATTCATCATTATTTGCAGTCACCGGCATATATCTATTTACATTTATTTACCCGCGCTATGATACAACAATTCGACATATATTTCCTTTTCTAAAATCCTCCACTTGACTATGCGGTTTGAGAGCATGTCCACTGATCGCCTAGACTCGGTGTTACATAAGACTCCTGTCGATGTAAAATTCTAAATAACTCCTGTTTGATAAGTATTGATCACGAATTGCTACATGTGTCTTTACAGCTAAGCAACACCTCTCCTGCGACGATTGCAGATACCAGTTATAATTCTATAGACGTATGAAAAGTGTCAATACAAATAACTTAAACGTATAATCAAGGTGTCCGGGATATACGTGCGGTCCTGGACAACCGTGGCATTAGTGTATAAACATAACATTACCACCCGTATAAAACTAAGGTACCATTTAAACAAGGGCATTAACAGATAAATAACATAACTAGCCCGGTACCAACTGGGTTCTGTTTAGATTTAAGAGTCCTAAAAAGGAAAAGAAATATGCATTTGAGTCTACAAACAAATCCATGCAGGTACATAACTTATGAAAGTATATTAATATATGTAGGTGTTGTTTGATATTCAAATCAGATTTTTGTCTACGACTATTCAAAATAATTCTAAATCTACGAGTAGTAAAAACAAATCTCTACCTACGACAAGTAAAACAATATCTGTCTACGACTCTTAACCCCATTCTATGTCTACAACTTGGATAAAATAGACGCACAACGACAACACAAAGAGTCATGAAAACAATTCCTACTCAATTTAGATCAAAGTTGTTTTTCTTAACAACTGGATGATAGTAAAATGTTTGAACAGTAAAAGACGGTTTGGTATTTTGCTAAACTTAACATAATTGCATTGAGTAAAACAAATAAAGGAGCACGCGGTTCGTTCATCTACACAGTCTGTGATGTTAGGCTACTGTTGTCTTGGGACCATGCTGTCCGTGTCGCCCAAACAGTATTTGGGATGTAAGGCTATTGTTGTCTTGTGAACATACTTTCTGTGTCGCTCATAGAACAACTGTAATGTAATGCTACACTGTTGTCTTAGGAACATGCTGTTCGTGTCGCCCATATACTATCTGTGATTTTAGGCTACTGTTGTCTGGGGACCATGCTGTTCGTGTCGCCCATACAATATCTGTGATGTAAGGCTATTGTTGTCTTGTGAACATACTTTCTGTGTCGCTCATAGAACATCTGTAATGTAATGCTACACTGTTGTCTTAGGAACATGCTGTTCGTTTCGCCCATACAATATCTGTAATGTTAGCTACTGTTGTCTTGGGAATAACCTCTTTGTGTCGCCGTGTCAGGCCGTGTCTACACAGCCTTGTCTTTCAATAAAGTCAGTCTTCTTTTCCCATAGGGCTGTGTTTCTGATGTATGCTGAATACATGTACATGTTTTGGAACTCAGGAATACTATGACTTCTTTCCTTTCTGGAATTAAACAATTGAACAGATAAAAATTGGCCGAGTTCATGAAAAAATACGTTTTCGCCCAATCCTGTCAAAATTTGAAACCAATCCGTTTCATCTGTTCTTAGGTTAAATATTCGTATGCTAATATTTTCCACACTATTCAGTGAAAATATCCGTGGGAGCAGCGGTTCGTCCGTCATTGCTGCTCAAGACATGCAGGAGTCTAAAAAAAGTCGAATATTACATCCATTCTGTATGATGCATCTAAAGGTGTCCCAAATAGCAAGACGCATTTCTTTTTTGAAAGCTTAAAATTGACATACGTGTTGACATAAGTTGATCGTATTCTAGTGATTTCTTCCAGTTAGTCGGTTTAAGTAGGTTTTTTTTTATTGTTTTTCAAGAGTCACTTTTGTTGTATCAGTGTATATAAATGATGAGTTTAATAATTGCACGTTTTGTTTATGAATTAGCCAATATTACAATACACGTATACAGTACTGCAAGTAAGGCAATATCGGGACAAAGTCGTTAACTCTCATAAATCATCATGACAGAAAGAACTCCTGTTTGTTCTAACTTTCAGTAATTACTTTTCATTTCTTTGAGGAATTAAATAACAATTAACTGTTGGTTCTTTTCTTTTCACATTTAAAAATACATGTATCACCATTGGAGTTGAATTAACATGATATAAACCGGTCACTAGATGTGGAAGGTTAATGTTTAAACATGTTACATCAGGTTTCAATAATACGCCATATTGCAACCCGTACAATACAAATCAGACTACACTACTACTCATTTACTCATGTCGTTATTCATCAAATATGAAAAGCTATATAAGACACACAATTTACATAAAGATTAGATATTATGGTTCATATAATAGGCATTTACTATGAGATTAAGGCTAACCTTTTAATGTTAAAGAAAATGACAGTTTGCGTGCATCTGTACTCTGGACAACAAATGTTGCATTTTATCCAGAACAATATATCGCAGCAAAATCTACCATTATTAAAAGAGAAAGCTATCTCAAATAAAACACATTATTTTCGTGTTAAAGTTACAGGTCGTCGGCTTCAGTCTCCAAATGTATCTGGAGTATTATGGGGAGGACTACCTTGCACTTTTGATTAGTTTAACGTTCTATAAACAGCTAAGGCCATTTAAGGACGTGTCTCAATGTGTATTGTGTATGCATGTGTGTATGTGTGCTGGAGACAGAGTACGCTGGTGTAATTGCCTCCTTGTAATAAGGCGAATCTGATGCCGACTTTATCTTTATATTGCTACCTTACAGCAATACCATGCCAAAGGAACTCAGGACAGCATTCCGCCAAGTCACATTATACTGACAACGGGTGCACCAGATGTTGCCATTACCATAACTGCTGAACGTTAAAAATGGAATAACAACTACCATTTTCAAGGACTTTGGTATGTCCTGGCATGGGAACAGAACCCATTGCCTTCCTACCCTGGGGGAACGTTTAACATCAAAGTCAAAAGTGAGGCTTTGCCTTGCAAGGCGCGAGGAAACGAAGAGAAGGGAATAAGAGAGAAATAGAAAGATCCCAAATTTTGTAATGGATGCAACAAATTGAGTTTTGTTGCTTTTGTGTCCCCAAGAAGAGAGCATACAAGCAAATCCCAAATCCTACAGAGGTTCCCACAGTAGCCATATCTCAGGATTATGCAGTGGGTACGGTAGGTGTAATTTTTCGCAATCCCCGACCTGCAGGGGTGACTTGACCTAGCCGACGGGCCTAGTCATGTGCAAGGTAGACCTGAAGTCTAAAATACAATATGGAACTGCATTACCAATAAACAAATGAAATTGCACAAATGCTATTCAAAAAATACAATATATATATATATATATATATATATAGGCACATATAACAGGATACAATAAACCTTCCAAACATTATTTTTAGATTGTAATTTGCTTGATTCTTACACTGAAAACAAAAAGTATTTATTATCCTTTTTGGTGGTTTCATCCGATATGAAACATTAAAACTGGTGTAACAAATGGTGGAACAATGTCAAGGTCTGTTTTCTTATCCACATTTTCGTTGGGTGGCAAACATCAGCAGGGAATTTCTGCTGAATTTGACGTCACTCAATGCTTTGTCCCCGATTACCTTGACAGTATAACGGATAGACCCGAACAGTTTCTGATTGAAACAAATAATACATGCACGCGTGTAATAGTTTTAGCTGTTATTGGTTAAAAACAATATTTATGGATGGTCAAAATTATTCAAAATCTATACAACGAAAATATAAATATAACAATATGCAATTATATATGTAGTAACAGGCTACATTAACACTGTTTATTATACATTTGAGTAATTGTTTTTGTATCTAAGTAATAAAGCAATAAAATGTGTTCCATTATGTTTATACCACATCAAACCATTTCAATGTATTATAACATATGATAGCTAGGTTTCATTTTTTTATATTCCACACCACACCATTTAAATGTACTGAAAAGATGATAGCTAGGTTACTTTTTGTTGTATTCCACATCACACCATTTAAATGTATTAAAAAAATGATAGCTAGATTACTTTTTGTTATATTCCAAATCACAACATTTAAATGTATTAAAAAATGATAACTAGGTTACATTTTGTTATATTCCACATCACAACATTTAAATGTATTAAAAAGATGATAGCTAGATTACTTTTTGTTATATTCCATATCACAACATTTAAATGTATTAAAAAATGATAACTAGGTTACATTTTGTTATATTCCACATCACAACATTTAAATGTATTAAAAATATGATAGCTAGGTTACTTTTTGTTATATTCCACATCACACCATTTCAATATATTATAACAGATGATAGCTACGGTACATTTTGTTACATATTTGTATATTCCACATCACACCATTTCAATGTGTTATAACAGATGATTCCACATCACACTATTTCAATGTATTATAACAGATGATAGCTATGGTACATTTTGTTATATATTTGTATATTCCACATCACACCATTTCAATGTATTATAACAGATGATAGCTAGGGTACATTCTGTTTTTAACGTGTCAGAATTATCTCTGTGGTATAGGTCTAAAAAACGTAAAAAGATTTACGGCAGCTGATTTGAGAGTAACCCTATATATCATTACATGTATGTGTAATTGGTAGCTACAAACGTATTTATGACACTTTCTTGACTTATTTATGTGCATGCGTATATGACCGTTAAGGTAAATATGAAATGTGCATAGTGTCCGTATAAGATAAATACATGTTTGTTACATGCATGTAATATTTATCCATTGTTCTGTTTCAAGTATTACATTATTTGGTGTTTATTAATATGGAATGCAATTGTAACCTTAATTTGGAAAAAATAAAGGTAATAATTATGATAAAAATAGATATCCTATGTAATATTAGTGATAGCCCTGTCCTCATTCAAAGCTCTTATTGGAGGAGCGAAGTCATGTGATGAGTCTATAAAACCTATTACTGACCTCATTCTTAGAATAATATAACAAAACAGTGCTTGCTAAGATAGGGTAGATTTTTTCCAGTTCAAGCACAGACCTCAATCTAATAGATTAAATTTGTCTGCTCCGCATTAACTACTTAACTACTAGGTTGGAGGGGATCAGTCATGCAACGAATATGTCAGTGTTTTACAAGCTCAATTTAAACCAAATAGATATCTATGTGACAGACTACATTAAAATTTAGAATAATTCAAATGTGACAAAAGGATGAGACCGATACATTTTAATGACATATAATTAAATACTTTTTGATTTCAGTAACGGACCTAACCTGAACATGAATTTGTTGGCTTCAACCTCGATTAATATTTAATCAACCAGGTTCGTAAATCATGAAGAAACCTCACATGAAGTCAATAATTGTGTAGTATTCGACGTCATATATTGCATTATATTATATAATCGCTATGGAAAAATAAAGTTGTATTAATCATTACAAATATTGTAATACAAAGTATTTAATATTCACGTGAGATATGGCATGTATGTACAGTCATGTGTTTCTACCTGTTTCATGTGTTACTTCCTGTCATGTGTTTCTACCTGTTTCATGTGTTACTTCCTGTCATGTGTTTCTACCTGTTTCATGTGTTACTTCCTGTCATGTGTTTCTACCTGTTTCATGGGTTACTTCTTGTCATGTGTTTCTACCTGTTTCATGTGTTACTTCCTGACATGTGTTTCTACCTGTTTCATGTGTTACTACCTGTCATGTGTTTCTACCTGTTTCATGTGTTACTTCCTGTCATGTGTTTCTACTTGTTTCATGTGTTACTCCCTGTCATGTGTTTCTACCTGTTTCATGGGTTACTTCCTGTCATGTGTTTCTACCTGTTTCATGATTTACTTCCTATGTCATGTGTTCTGTATATGTCATGTGTCACACATATGTCGTGTGTTTCTATCGTTGCCATAATGTACTACCTATGCCATTTGTTTCTACCTTTGTCATGACTTACTACATGTACCTATAAGTCTGTGATTCCATCTTTGCCATGTGTGACACACATGTTATGTGTTGTTACCTGTGGTATTGGTGACCACCTACATAATGTATTACTCCATTCTCCATGTGCCACTTAACATTTAATATATTACCGTAGTGCCTTTATCTTTTCCGATCCAACACGTGTACGGTTGCATTTATAATTATTTTATCTGACTGAATTTGTAAACAAATCGTCAGTACAGCTGAAGTAGTCAGATCCACAGTGACCAATCAACAACAACTAGGAAGAAGTCATGTTCGCATTAATCCCACTGATCATATCAGATAGAGAGCACACACTGAGTTGACTACGCAGTCCGCTACCACACAGATAACAGTGTCAGAATCATATATATAGAGTAAACTCTGACACGTGACAATTCGTGTCTAGAAAAAAGTTTCAGTTTTACAATTGTCTATCGTACCGGCCTCATACTCTGACGGAAATGTAACTTTTTTTCGGATAGTCCCTTTTGCAAAGGCAGATATTAACTAGATACGGGTTACTAAATACTTAAATGGCAACGTCAACCTGATTAAGAATGTCATAATGATGACTGTAAATGCATAAAAGTTAAGTTTCAATGGTGCTGTTGCTTTTATGTAGAGTGTATACATATTAGAGATGTTTTCCGTATAGACATACAGATGATACATTGTGTACAAGGTGCCTTAGGTGATAATAACTATAAGGCAAACAGAACCATCAGGTAGCATTATTGTTTGTACGGGTAATAAACGGACAAATTTAAATTTTATTGATATGAAGGAAAATCTAAGTAAGTATGAGACAACGTCAGCTAACCTTACAACAAAGTCATAGAACATTACTCGAACTCTCCAAGCAAATATGTAACTGTAAGACCGAGTTATAAACCATAAATGAATTCAAATTAATTTAAGTAAATAACAATTTGAAGCAGGTTACAAAAACACATCAACAAATTCGAAACCAAAAAAATATTTCTTCAATAAAAACGTCAACATTATAGAAGACGTTTTAAAGAACGTCATGTCATACTTAACATAACCGTCATGATATAATTGACATAAAAATCATGATATAATTGACATAGACATCATGATATAATGGACATAACCGTCATGATATAATTGACATAAAAATCATGATATAATTGACATAGACATCATGATATAATGTACATAAACGTCAATATATAATTGACAGTCATACAACTGTATATAATGTGCTAATTTTTATAACATAATGTTACCAAGCAAAGCATGATCTCTAGTTTCTATAATGAATTATTGTCTCCGGTATAAATAATTAATTGTGTTTCCTAGTCATCATCTTGTATTGTATTCATAACTGTCCGATTCGATCTCTCTGACCAGCACAGTTGCATTTCTATATCGTGCACTCATGTGGCGTTTCACCTCTATCTTACAGCAGGTAACACCAGGTCACCTCCATCGGTCACCTCTATCTTACAGGAGGTTACACCAAGTCACCTTCATCGGTCACCTCTATCCTACAGGAGGTTACACCATGTCACCTCCATCGGTCACCTCTATCCTACAGGAGGTTACACCATGTCACCTCCATCGGTCACCTCTATCTAACAGGAGGTTACACCAGGTCACCTCAATCGGTCACCTCTATCCTACAGGAGGTTACACCAGGTCACCTGTATCTTACAGGAGGTTACACCAGGTCACCTCTATTGGTCACCTCTATCTTAAAGGAGGTTACACCAGGTCACCTCCATCGGTCACCTCTATCTTACAGGAGGTTACCCCAGGTCACCTCTATTGGTCACCTCTATCTTAAAGGAGGTTACACCAGGTCCCCTCCATCGGTCACGTCTATCTTACAGGAGGTTACACCAGGTCACCTCCATCGGTCACGTCTATCTTACAGGAGGTTACACCAGGTCACCTCCATCGGCCACCTCTATCTTACAGAAGGTTACACCTGGTCACCTATATCTTACAGGAGGTTACACCAGGTCACCTCAATCGGTCACCTGTATCTAACGGGAGGTTACACCAGGTCACCTCCTTCGGTCACGTCTATCTTACAGGAGGGTACACCTGGTCACCTCTATCTTAAAGGAGGTTACACCAGGTCACCTCCATCGGTCACGTCTATCTTACAGGAGGTTACATTAGGTCACCTCCATCGGTCACCTCTATCTTACAGAAGGTTACACCTGGTCACCTATATCTTACAGGAGGTTACACCTGGTCACCTATACGGTCACCCCTATCCTACAGCAGATTACACCAGGTCACCTCCATCGGTCACCTCTATCTTACAGGAGGTTACACCTGGTCACCTCTATCTTACAGGAGGTTACACCTGGTCACCTCTATCTTACAGGAGGTTACACCTGGTCACCTCTATCTTACAGGAGGTTACATCTGGTCACCTCTATCTTGCAGGAGGTAACACCTGGTCACCTCTATCTTACAGGAGGTAACACCTGGTTACCTCTATCTTACAGGAGGTAACACCTGGCCACCTCTATCTTACAGGAGGTAACACCTGATCACCTCTATCTTACAGGAGGTAACACCTGATCACCTCTATCTTACAGGAGGTAACACCTGGTCACCTCTATCTTACAGGAGGTTACACCTGGTCACCTCCATCTTACAGGAGGTCAAGCCTGGTCACCTCTATCTTACAGGAGGTAACACCTGGTCACCTCTATCTTACAGGAGGTAGCACCTGGTCACCTATATCTTACATGAGGTTACACCTGGTCAACTCTTTCTTACAGGAGGTTACACCTGGTCACATCTATCTTACAGGAGGTTACACCTGGTCACATCTATCTTACAGGAGGTCACACCTGGTCACCTCCATCGATCACCTCTTTTTTTCCATGATGTTATTGATGGTCACATTAATTGATCACATCTATATCACAGGAGGTTATAGATGGTCACATTTATTGGGTACCTCTTTCTCACAGTCCAATGCGTTATCCGTTAAATGCGTTTTTGCTAAAAGTATTTGATTAAGTCTACCAGGACCAATGCTTAAACCATAGTTTGAATAAATGTCACGTGACATGTCGGGCTATTTTTATACAAGACATCCAATTGAATTACAATGCATACACACTTAGCAGAAAACGCATCACAATTGGGTCTTTTCATCCTCATGATATATCGGATTGTCGTACCGTTTATCTTTCTCTGCTCCAAATTGTCCATCTTGTTGATAAACTGAATTTTGATGGCCGTTCATGTGCAAACCTACTTCATTTGTTGAATTATACGAAACTTTTGTGTTATTCATTTGTGACTGATCATTTTGGCTTGCCTGTTGAAGAACAAAAATAATAATTTAGAATCAAAAAGGAAATCATCAAATATAAGATGTATGCCAGCGTTAAACGCGTCTCAAATTGAAATGCTAAATTACAGCTTGTACAATCAGAGAGCAAGACTCAAGTGATCATCAGTATCAGGAAAATGGATTGGAATCTTCAGGACGAATTTTGAGTGTGAAGAGGGAAGAGGACGAAGGAAGGAGGAGAAACTGGAGGACATACCTGTTGCGGCTGTTTTCCCCGACATTTTACCACCAACACCACCACGATTACAACCACTATCACTCCTCCCGAGGCGCCCCCAGCTATCGGTGCGATCTTGACGGCCTTCTGCGGCGACGACTTATTGTCAATCTGCCCAAACATAAACAATTCATGATAAGTAGATGTGATTATGTACTGTGTAGCTCCTTGTGAAACTATAGCTGCCACCGCTGAAGGTAAAGTGACCTTTAAGTGGAGTATTACAATACCGACGTCACATTGACAGCGGTAATAACCCAAACCACAGCACAAATGACTATACTGAAAATGTGACGTCATTCCATTGTTTCCATTTAGAGTTCAATTACGACAATTGTATAGGGGATTGATCTTTCTCTCCAAATAAACGAACGACCGAATTATCAGCGTTGATCTGAAAGTGACCAACGATGTATCATGATATTAAGGTTTAAATTATTTCAATGTATTGCCACCCTCGGTGTTACCTGATGCCACATCTGACGTGATATATTGCCACTTTCCGCAGCGGCTTATATAATGTCATATCCTCTGACACATCTTTTGGCTGAAATCTGTCGCAACTTTAACTGCAGATTAGGTTATTTTCTACCAGTTTGATAAATTTAAAGGTAAAATATATATAATGTATTTATATAGGGAAGTACTAAGCAACTCTTTTTACAGTGTTTTATACATGTATATATTTATATGTTATCTCATTTAAAGGTAAGAAACTATTGCATCTAATGGTGTCACTGTGATTAGAACATTAAAAACCTACAATATGCAATAAACGACAAGTTTAATTACGGGAAAAACGATAGTACTATAACTCGTCCGTAGAGCAGCTTGACTAAATGTGGACTACTCCAAATACCTGGAAATAATATGCACAGAGAAGTCAACACTGTACCAATAGCACTTTTAACTTTTTTCCCCAAATTAGAACCATTTTCATGGGTCCGATTACTATAAATATTCAAATGCATGTAATTGAAAGAAAATCTGCAGCTAAAAGAAAATCATGTGTACGTTTGAATCCATACTCAATTAATTAATAGATATCCTTTTTATCATTGAAAAGCTATTTTGAAAAGGTCGAGAGTTTATCACAAGATAAAGACCTTATCGAGAATCTAAAGTGTGCAATGCTACAGAAGGCTTAATTTATACTGAAATAATTTAACAAAATCATTTTCATATTGAATTTGTTACGGGTATATTACGTGTATAACAAAGTGTACCATTAAACCTATGTGCAGTGATAAATAAAGGAAGAAAAAACCCACAGAACAGCATATCCACACTGTTGAAGAACACAGGTTACAGATGCAATGATAATGCGTAGTGTTGTTGAAATGTGCACATAATGCATTTTTACTGTGACAGCATTTCGTGGTGTATATCGGTATTTAGTACGACGCCCGGTCAATAATGTCAATAGCTTGGTTGATGTGATAAGAGTGCATATCACGACCAGATATTAAGTTGTCGGGAGGATTGATCAGGCAAGCAATACATGATAACGATTAATGCATATAAAATATGTAAAGTATTTTTCACTTTACTGAACATAAGTAGCAAGATCATAAATAACTATCAATCTTGAAAAATAAATTACAATTTTATATTTAGTTTACAAAGTAAACTTATTTTTTTGGAGCGTTTTTTATTTATTTTTATTTATCAATAACTGAAAAAATAATATAAAAACACAGTAATAAGAACCAAATGACAATGAAATCGCTTCAGCAAAATTGGAAGAATATGAAATATCCTTTAAAGTGTGAAAGACTTTATGTATATGTAACTGGTAAATTTTAGAATTATTAGTGCGTGATGAGAATACAGTAAAACCCCACTTACTCGAACTCGCAATACTCGAATGCCCCTATTCCAAGACGATGTTTTGACATCGATGATTTAGCGTTTATTCACTTGATGTGCAAAAACTATATTAATACCGATGACTATACGTTTCATTGTTCAGCTATTTTGTATTTTATTAAATGTTGTCATTTTTATGAAACTTCTTTTTTACTTTTGATCATCTACTATCTGCGATAGCTGCAGTGCTCCTACTGTCTGTCGTCCTATCTAATAAAAAAATAATGTCGGACGAACCTCGAATTCGTCGAATACCCGGTTTTCCTCGAACTGATAATCTTGATCCCACGAGTTCGAATGAGCGGATTCCAATGTTACTATCAATCTAATTAGAGCCCCTTTCATGCCAATAACCAAAAACATAATCACAAAATGTGTTTCATTTTCGTTCTTTTTTTAATTTTCGTTATTTATATTAGAGTCTAGGTTGATGAATTATAGATGTTAAATAAACGAATATATCTAGATACTTGCGTTTTCATATTAATCGAAATTTTAAAAAATGAATCCATCAAAAGAGAAATAAATTGCACTGTTGTCACTTCAAATTGTAAAAAGTCTGTTTTAGTATGGCTGTTCCTGTCGGTAATTTCAAGTGATTATATCGTTTTGAAATATTAACCGATTACAACTAGAACACTGACATGTCAGTAAGGGCCCCGTCTTGTGGCAATATATCCGCCATAATCATCAAGAAGCAATCTGCCTATAAAGCTGAGCTTGAGGTCTGATATTTGGACTCGCAAAAAAGAATCGCAAGGAAACAAAATACACATTTAACATGTACTATGATGTAAGTCTTGTTTCCTTCCACCTATTGCTAGGCTAACAGAAATGTAAATACCGGTGCAATACTCATTTGTTAGCTTTGATATGTTTTATTTCACTTTGAATACCTCCTCCATCAAGAGCCAGGGTCCAAGTCAGAGATCCATTTTGTCTTTGACCTTTGGACCCAACTGACCTTGACCTTAACCCAGTGACCCTGATCTTTGGACAGTTGACTTATTCTTTGATTCCGACCAACTTTGCTTCATAATATCATAACAAAATGTTCATCAGTGAAAAATACAAATCTTGACCTTGACCTTGAACATTTGGACCCCGTAACCATGACCTTAGTTCATTTGACTTGGTGTTTAGTTCTGAACAACTTTGCTTCTTAATAACATAAAAATAATGTTCATCAGTAAAACGATACAATATTTGACCTTGACATTGACCCAGTGACCATGACCTTTAGTCAGTTGACTCCTTGTTTAGTTCTGACCAACATTGCTTCACAGTGTCATAACAAAATGTTCATCAGTGAAATAATACAATATTTGACCTTGACCTTTGACGCAGTGACCTTGACCTTTGGTCAATTGACTCATTGTTTAATTCTGAGCAACATTGCTTCAAAGCATCATAACGAAATATTCACCAGTGAAAGATGCAAAATTTGACCTGGACCTTTGAACCTTATGACCTTGACCTTTGACCTTGACTTTTTACCTGAGTGTGTTTTTTTTGTGAACTGAACATCTTGACCAAGTTTCATGTATATCGGTCAATTAATACCAAAGTTATTAGCCAGGAACAAAATTTGTGGACGGACAGACAGACAGAGTGATTACTATAGGGCACCCGTATTTCCGATACGGGGCCCTAATAAATATACACGATTCTTTTATAAACTCCGAAAATTCAACTTTGGTTTATAGTTTATGTCGAATGATCACAAGCTCCATAAAACATTTAACCATAAAACAACCATCAACAAACGACACCACTTCTAAACATAAAACAACCATCAACAAACGACACCGTTACTGAACATAAAACAACCATCAACAAACGACACCGTCACTAAACATAAAACAACCATCAACAAACGACACCGTTACTAAACATAAAACAAACATCAACAAACGACACCGTTACTGAACATAAAACAACAATCAACAAACGACACCGTCACTAAACATAAAACAACCATCAACAAACGACACCACTTTTAAACATAAAACAGCTTGTTTCGGGTTGTTAGCCCCAGGATCAATTATCTAAACGTTCATCTTTTGACCCCCGAACCCTGCACACATCCTCCAGTATAACAAACCTTATTTCAGATTATAAGAAGACCATATCCATTCCTTTGTAATTGATTTGCACGACGTATAGAAAGTTAGCTTGGTCTTTTTGGTTACTTCCTGACCAGATAGGACCTATTAATACTACAGTTGTAGCTTGATATTGTCGCATAATAATTACAACTTAACTCTAGTCCCTGTCCACATTAAGACATATTGTTATTACATTAATACAAAGAGTCAGCAAAGTATGCTTATGTTATATAAACTATAAACACTTAACGAACATGTTATATATACTACTATAATAAACGGTTTAAACTTATATCTGAGCAGATAGACGAACCAGAGGAGGAAATGATAATAAAACAAAATACACAGATAAGGCAACGAATTCCATCAAATACCAATCGTGGTGTCTCCTGACTGAGCAGTCTTCTATCAAACACATTGGACACCAGCTAATGTTTTCATGATACAATGGATGCAATCCTATAAGTGATGGTGGGGACAAGCATGTTGATGTTTAAAAACTGTCAGTGAAGAATTACATATAATTACAGATCTTAACGTGTGGAGGAAATACATGAAGGTTTGGATCATTGCTTAAGTTTATCACAATACAAATAAGACTACGTGCTCCGGAAGGGTATATGTGGGCCACGTGCTATGCAGAAAAAATAAACGGGCTTTATGTTTTTGGTAAATATGGCATAATTATACCTACCTTGGGCGGCAACGTTCTCTTTGTTGATGAAGGATGCTCACGAATTAACTAAGAAAATATATGACATTGGAAATATACAACAAGGACGAAAGTATAGCGAAAAAACGGTAAGACAACAAAACCTGAACATGGGAGAGATGAAAGCTTTGGACAGGAAACATTGTCACATCATATGTAGCAATCGTCAGAACAGTCTGTGAATGAGAAATCATGATAGTTGGTAAAGGAGAGTTTTCGGTAGGAGATTAAAGAGAATGTATTGGTGAATATGAGATTCTTACTCACCTTAGGTGATATTGTAATAGGCTGACTGGGCGTTGATAAAGTTTGTTCAAGATTGCTGGTGGACTAGAACAGAAACATACACGGAGGAGATCCAAATTAGGTGTCAGAAAAGACGACAATATGGATGAAGTGACAGAACTTCGGACGAGTGACGATATAATACAATGCAGTACTGGTAACAATATAAAGAAAAGAAAACTGTACACAAGTGGTAAATAAACGATTTTTATACTGACCCCAGGTGGCTCTGTAACAGGCGGTCTGTGTGTTGGTGAAGATTGCTCACGATTTATAGTGGACTATAACAAAGTATATTACACAGCGTCAATAAACAAAGAGGAGATTCGAACTTAAGGACGACGAAGGCAACAGCATGGACTTAGTGACATAACTGTGTGCTCCGGTTGGGTTATACTTGTGCTGCGTGTAACATCGTCAAGTTTGATGCAAAAGAACACATTATAGGTTTTAAAAGAGACTAAGGAGACGGGGCAAAGTTGAAGGGAACTAATGACAGAACGTAAGGAAAACTCGTCATAACTTATCACAGGTGCGAGAAGGTAACTTAACACAACTGAGAGAAGGTACAGAAGTAATCATGATAATTTATTATTGGGGATAAGGGTTTACTGAACACACAAGAGGGAAAGTTAAGGAGAAATCATGATAATTTATCATAGGTAATAGGGGGTAACTGCACACACACACATGATAGGAGGTAAAGGAGAAATCATGGCTATTCATTATACGTGATAGGGGGTAACTGTACACACATGATCGGAGGTGAAGGATACTATAATTATCGGTAAATATGGTATATATACTTACCTCGGGCGGCAGTGAAACAGTTGATCTGTGTGTTGTTGAAGTGTGTTTATTACTGATAGAGGACTGGAACAAAATAGACTAGAGCGTCAACTTTCATAGACGAATTGCGAGCTTAAATTCGCAAGACAGCTATTTCACATCGACCATGATATTGGAACCAGGCTCCACGGTTGTGTAAACATTTCCAGTGCCATGTAAATGTAGAAAGGAACTAATGGTAGGGAGTAAAGGTGAAATTATATTTGGAGACAAAGGAAAACTCATGAAAGAATGTAAAAGAGAACACGTGAAAGGGAAAAGGATAACACGTGAAAGGTGGTTAAGAATAAAATTCCGACAGGGGGTGGAGACATAATATTTATTGATGATTACAGTAAATGTGTGCTTACCTCTGGCGGCAGTGTAACAGACAGTCTTTGTGTTAATAGAAGATTGGAAGTGGACTGGAACTAAATAGGAAAGATGGTCAACATTCATGGACGAACATGAACCAGAAAAGGAAACCAGGTGTTTCGGCGGAATTAGCAAATTCTGTGTCACACGTGGAATGTCACACGAGAGGATGTAAAGGAGAACCTGGGAGAGGATGTTAAGGAGGACGACTAAGAGAACTTGTTATAGGATGTAAAGGAAATCCCCATTAGGAGTAAAGATAGATCGTATGTTAGGAGGTAAAGGAGAACCTGCGAGAGGGATTAAGGGAAGAGGAGGAGAACTTGTGATATGATGTAAAGGAAAATAGTAATAAAGAGAGAACGTTTATTAGGAGGTAAAGGATAATAATAGGTAAAGGAAGCCAGGAATTTTATAAGTGAACTTATATTTACCTTTGGTTGCAGTGTACCAGGCGGTCTTTGTGTTGTTGAAGGTTGTGCCTGATTGATAGTGGACTATAACAAAATTAACAGGTGTCAATATTCAGGTGGGCCGAACTAAAAGTATATAAATAAATCAGCCATAGGAAACGGGGAGACGAAACTACATGTACGTGCTTCAAACGGATAGCATTCCCTTTGTCCCCTGTGGCGTTCTCATGAAAGGAATTGAAAACGAAACCTACATTAATAATGAACATGACGTAATCACACTAACCTTTGGTGGTATTGTTGCAGTCGGACTATGAGTTGTTACGTGTTGCTGACAGTCAATTCCACCAAATCCATCATTACATAGACAAGTGTATTTCCCGATACCATCGCGGCACGTTCCTCCATTTTGGCAAGTAGCATTTGCGCACTCATCAATATCATTTTCACAATTTAATCCATTAAATCCATTTCCACAGGAACAGGTGTATTCCCCTATACCATCGCGGCACGTTCCTCCATTTTGGCAAGTAGCATTTGCGCACTCATCAATATCATTTTCACAATTTAGTCCATTAAATCCATTTCCACAGGAACAAGTGTATTTCCCGATACCATTGCGGCACGTTCCTCCATTTTGACAAGTAGCATTTGCGCACTCATCAATATCATATTCACAATTTAATCCATTAAATCCATTTCCACAGGAACAAATGTATTTCCCGATACCATCGCGGCACGTTCCTCCATTTTGGCAAGTAGCATTTGCGCACTCATCAATATCATGTTCACAATTTAATCCATTAAATCCATTTCCACAGGAACAAGTGTAATTCCCGATACCATCACGACACGTTCCTCCATTTTGGCAAGTAGCATTTGCGCAATCATCAATATTATGTTCACAGTGTAATCCATGAAATCCATTTCCACAGGAACAAGTGTAATTCCTGACCCCATCGCGGCACGTTCCTCCATTTTGGCAAGTAGCATTTGGGCAATCATCAATGTTATGTTCACAGTGTAATCCATCAAATCCATTTCCACAGGAACAAGTGTAATTTCCAATCCCATCGCGGCACGTTCCACCATGTTGGCATGCTTCTTTTACGCAGTCATCAATATTATGTTCACAAAACTCGCCAGTGTAACCAGCATAACAGCTACATGAAAAGTTTGCCACAAGGTCGATGCATGTTCCGTTGTGGCAGGTCACGTTGACACAGTCCGGAGTATTGACAGTGCAGTTGTCACCCTCGTAGCCTGCACAATTAAGGAAACTTTCACGTTGTAGCAGTTCTAAGTACACTATAGTCAGTTATATCAAGTATTATGGGTTGTTAATTACATCAGCGTAATAGGTAATCAGTATAACGATATCGTTTGTTCTAACTAGTGAAACTATTTAGTTAGTTCTTACCAGATTCTCATTTTACCTAGTCCTCAAATCTATTTTATTTATCGATATGTAATTGTCAAAGCAAACAAGAGTTCATATCGGCTAAAAGTAATAAAGCTTTACAGGTTGGTCTACATTTTGGAAGCACCGGTTTGGATTTGGAGGATAGAGTTATCTGGATACATATAAAAAACCAAGGGAAGCAATATCTCCAAAGCGTTATAATTATCTAAAAATTACAAATGTGTGCTTTTACATTCTATGACTGTTTTTCTTTTTATTGTAAACTCTACATTTCTGATAAAATTTCTAATTACGTTCAAGTATTATGTAAATCCACTTCTTCCAGTTCTTTAACTTCCAAACAGAAGTTTCAAAAGCCCCGCGTAAACTGCAAAATATATTGTTTCCAATCAAAGACATACGACCGTTCGATGCGCGCACACATCCTAGTTCCTCTAAAACTAACATTGGATTAAGAAGGTAATGAACCTAAAAGTGACAGAGGAAACTTGGAGGAAGATGGGGACTCCCATTGCACGTGGTAGGCAGTTTTATAAAAAAAGGTACAATTGAGATTTACAAAAACAAAACAAAACTGTATTTTATATCCTCAATTATATCAAAAACAATACTTCTAAAAATATGAAATTGTTTTACCTATCAGATTCGCAAATTGCACAGGACCATGGTCTAATTAAAGACGGTTGAAAACAAGTTACAGTTTTTCAAAGTAAAAGGACATCGAAATATCCTAAAGAAGATCTAAACAATAGAGGACTCTAAATTATAAACTGTCTTATAATCCGGGGGCCAAGAGGGCACGAGGACAGGTGTCAGGAGTATGAATCGTCCTGGACCAAGAGGTCCTGAATGCCCTAATAGATCTTTAAAACACCGATCTCTCCACGGCCCCAGACGCAAGGGGGCCCTGAGCAGGCAGCACACTACCAATCTGCTGATATGATACCGGTCCCAAACACTGGTGTAATCCTGAAGGGAAATCTGAGTTGTAGCCGAAATCCTAAAGAAATGGGAAGATGGAACAGGCAGAAAAAAGATTGATCGAAATACTGCTAAGTGGGTACAGTAGGAACATCCTGACGAGGAGGGAAAACGTGACCATTGGTTCTGCAAACAAAGATAGGATCGGAGAACAAAACGATGCATTAATGTGTTATTTTGAATTGGAGAAAAGAGGGATTGGTATGACATTAAGTTGTTTCGTATTTGCGCGGCGCATTTGAAACTTTTGTTTATGAATTAATGAACTGATAGTAAAAGTGGATTTGCAAAATAATCGGATGACATGTACTTGCTTGATGTATAAAAAACTTTGTAAGCCACGTTACAATGACTTAAACATTTTATTAATTATTTTGATATTGAATAACCGGCTTAGATATTGTATTGAAAATATGATGGTTTGCAGACATTTGATAATCTATGTGTTCAAACTGTTGTATCAACAAAGTCAAGACCTGTCCTTTCGAAATTGAGGTGCAATGTAGCTTTCGTATAATGTATAATACACTTCTATGAACTCTAGTCTGCCTTATCGATCACAAAACGATGGTAAATAACTGTGACGAAAATTAAAAAAAAAGATTTGAAAAATTCTTTCGTGGTTTTGCAAACAATATAGCAAGGGGAATGGCCTTTTTACACACACCCTAATTCATCTCATTCATTCAACAGTTGCTACCGTGTATATATATCTTAACTCTCTTCCTACCTAGAAAACAGATTTTTTCCCCATTAGGCCCACAGGTGTAGTGTCCAGTCGTATTATCCGAGGGTGAACAGTAGATGTCACACTGCGCACCAAAGTAATGCTGAGGACACGTCGCCACCAACGTCACGTCAATACTAAAATAAAAATAAAATACCTGTAGTCAGCTTCTGATGGTTGTCAAATTCCAAGTAGATTGAGTTTAAAATTAATTGAAAACACGAAATACATATATTTAGTCTCTACTGTACCTGCAGGAAGTACAATCGTGGGCTTGAAGCGTGAGGTTAAATGGGCTGACAAGCTTGTCTGTACTGACATTGGAGCAGTAATGTGTTGTGTCGTCCGAGCCGGGCGCAATTTTCTCATCATTGTACTTCTGCTTCACGATTAGGTGTAATGTCTAAGGAAACATATCAACAGAGTATTATCATCAGATTTATTGTCAGAAGAAACATGCATAAGGGATATAAAAATATATGTAAAAGATATAAGCCTCAAACTGTCTATTATGACAAATATTGGACAGTCTTCGGCGTAACGCGCCTCAGACTGTCCAATATTTGTACTTAAAACACACCCCCTCTTTGTGTTAGTATTGGACAGTTTCAATGTCTGTTCAGTATGTGCAATCAACCACGAATAGAAGGCTATTGATAAAATAAAGGATAGTGGTGTCCTTTAGCATACTTTGCATGCTTTTGTACAAGTGCATGCATTACAGGTGTGTGAAATATGCCTGAGCAGAAAGTCTCTTTTGAATAATGTCGTCTAACAGTGAAGGTGCGTTCCCAACACAGTCCCTGTTCAGTACATGTTGAGCATCAGCATTCAGTATTGAAATGGATTTAATTCAAATAATGTGATTGATTTATTGAAGAAAGTGATTACAATATATTTCTTGGATTATATCTGTGAGATAATGAAATGAAAAAAATAAAACCACACAATTGAAGTGAGAAAATTCAATATTTCAACACCACCTCCAAAATATGTTCATCAAAGATATATCACAGCTATATATCTGGGAGTATACAAGAATAGCTCAAGGGATGATACGAAAGAAATTTTGTACGCATACATTTATGTAAATTGTGGGAAAACGCAAGATTTCAACTGTCTGGGGCAACATATATATAGAACCTCATCATTAGATTTATTGTCTTGGGCAACATATAATCAATCTCAAATAACTTCAGAACTTTCGCATCATTCTCATCAATATCCGCCATATTTGCTACAACTCCGAGCGCCCTTTTGAAAGAGGGTCTCTGATTGGTCAAAATTTTATGAGTATTTATTAATATAAAGGTCACCTGAACGTGACCCTGACCGCGGCACACTCAGATGTTCAGGCGTAGTTAACGAAGCCATGAAACATATGATTTTAATCAGATTGTGTCTGGGGCAACATGTTCATAGAACATCATTATAAGATGACTGTCTGGGGCAAAATGTATACAGAACATCATCATAAGATTGACTGTCTAGGGCAACATGTACAAAGAACATTATTATAATAGCTACTGTCGGGGGCAACATGTACATAGAACATCATCATACGATTAACTGTCTGGGGCAACATGTACATAGAACATCATCATAGGATTTACAATCTGGGGCAACATGTACATAGAACATCATCATAAGATGACTGTCTGGGGCAACATGTTCACAGAGCACACTTGGGTACCTTGCTATATGCCTGTCTCTGAAGATAGAATTCCATCAGCTGTCTACCGTTGTATTGAAGTTCCAAAGAGGAGGAGGGTCCAGTGATATTTTCTGCAGGTGTACCGTAGAATTTTTTAAAATCTCCATCTACCTTTTGACCGTAGTCCACTTCACAATCTCTAAAATATCATACATAAAGTGAATTGGTAAATAACCATATCTTATCGGATGATGTATTATTTTCATTAAACCATGCACGTGCAGCGCTCGTCAAAAAGTCTACTTCGCGTTCAAAAGTAAATAAGCGAGCGTGTTATATGTGCATGTACAATGATCCGCTTTATGCAAAACTTTTGTTTCCATGGCGTATTGGTTGGCAGTGACTTTTCTAATAAAAAAGGAAGTGAGATTAAAAAGAGGTATGAGGTATATTTAAGGAAAGACATGTGTCACTTACTCGATGCCTTCGTCCACTAGGATCAGAAAGATTGGTGACATGTAATTGTCATTGCAGTATCCGCTACATCTGTAGGTATTCAGTTGAAAATTGACAGTAACACTATCCGAGACGCTCTCACTTCTCATCACCTGCAATCACAGACAACATCAGCCTTATAGCATGCGATAAAGTTATAGAGTGATATCCTGTTATCAATGTAACAACTCATTTTAACAATAATGAGTTGTATAGGATCATTTTGTATGCTGAAAACAGTAAACAGTGGTAGCAGTGGTAACAGTGGCAACGTGTTATGCAGATAAACAGTAGCAACGTGTTATACAGACAATCAGTGGTAATGTGTTATACAGATAAACCGTGGTAACGAGTTATACAGATAAACAGTGGTAACGTGTTATACAGATAAACAGTGGTAACGTGTTATACAGCTCAACAGTGGTAACGTGTACTACAGACAAACAGTGGCAACGTGTAATACAGATAAACTATGGTATCGTGTTATACAGACAAACAGTGGTAACGTATAATACAGATAAACAGTGGTAACGAGTTATACAGATAAGCAGTGTAGCGTGTAATACAGATAAACAGTGGTAACGTGTAATACAGAAAAACAGTGGCAACGTGTTATACAGACAAACAGTGGCAACGTGTTTTACAGACAAACAGTGGCAACGTGTTATACAGACAAACAGTGGTAACGTGTTATACATATAAACAGTGGTAACGTGTTATACATATAAACGGTGATAACATGTTAGTTATACAGACAAACAGTGGTAACGTGTTATACAGACAAACATTGGTAACGTGTAATACAGATAAACAGTGGTAACGTGGTATACAGATAAACAGTTGTAACGTGTTATACAGCTCAACAGTGGTAATGTGTCATACAGACAATCAGTGGTAATGTGTTATACAGATAAACAGTGGTAACGAGTTATACAGATAAACCGTGTAGTGTGTTATACAGATAAACAGTGCTAACGTGTTATACAAAAACAGTGGAAACGTGCTATACAGACAAACAGTGGTAACGTGTAATACATATAAACAGTGTAGCGTGTTATACAGAAACAGTGGAAACGTGCTATACAGATAAACAGTGGTAACGTGTTATACATACAAACAGTGGTAACGTGTAATACAGGTAAAAAGTGTAACTTGTAATACAGGCAAATAATTGTAACGTTTTATACAGTAAAACAGTGGTAATCGGTATCACAAATAAACCATGGTAATGTGTAATACAAATAAACAGTAGTAACGGGTAATACAGACAAACACTGGTAATGTATAATACAGACAAACAGTGGCAATGTGTTATACAGACAAACAGTGGTAACGTGTAATACAGGTAAACAGTGTAATGTGTAATACAGGCAAATAATTGTAACGTGTTATACAGTAAAACAGTGGTAATCGGTATCACAAATAACCATGGTAATGTGTAATACAAATAAACAGTAGTAAAGGGTAATACAGGTAGACAGTGGTAACGATTAATATATGTAAACTATAGTATCGTGTAAAACAGGTAAACAGTGATAACGTGTTATACAGATAAACAGTTGTAACGTGTTATACAGCTCAACAGTGGTAATGTGTCATACAGACAATCGGTGGTAATGTGTTATACAGATAAACAGTGGTAACGAGTTATACATATAAACAGTGATAACATGTTAGTTATATAGACAAACAGTGGTAACGTGTTATACAGACAAACATTGGTAATGTTTATACCGATAAACATTTGTAACGTGTTATACAGATCAACAGTGGTAATGTGTCATACAGACAATCAGTGGTAATGTGTTATACAGATAAACAAAGGTAACGAGTTATACAAATAAACCGTGTAGTGTGTTATACAGATAAACACTGCTAACGTGTAATACATATAAACAGTGTAGCGTGTTATACAGAAACAGTGGTAACGTGTTATACAGATAAACAGTGGTAACGTGTTATACAGACAAACAGTGGTAACGTGTAATCAGGTAAAAAGTGTAACTTGTAATACAGGCAAACAATGTATACATATAATACAGATAAACAGTGTAATGTGTAATACAGACAAACAGTGCTAACGTGTAATACAGGTAAAACGTGTCATGTGTAATACAGGCAAATAATTATAACGTGTTATACAGTAAAACAGTGGTAATCGGTTTCACAAATAAACCATGGTAATGTGTAATACAAAAAAACAGTAGTAACGTGTTATACAGGTAAACAGTAGTAACGTGTAAATACAGACAAATAGTGGTAACGTATAATACAGACAAACAGTGGCAATGTGTTATACAGACAAACAGTGTTAACGTGTAATACAGGTAAACAGTGTAACTTGTAATACAGGCAAACAATGTATACATATAATACAGAAAAACAGTGTAATGTGTAATACAGACAAACAGTGCTAACGTGTAATACATATAAACAGTGTAGCGTGTTATACAGAAACAGTGGTAACGTGTTATACAGATAAACAGTGGTAATGTGTAATACAAATAAACAGTAGTAACGTGTAATACAGGTAAAGAGCGGAACGTGTTATACAGGTAAACAGTGGTAACGTGTTATACAGATAAACAGTAGTAACGGGTAATACAGGTAGACAGTGGTAACGATTAATATATGTAAACTATGGTATCGTGTAATACAGGTAAACAATGATAACGTGTTATACAGATAAACAGTTGTAACGTGTTATACAGCTCAACAGTGATAATGTCATACAGACAATCAGTGGTAATGTGTTATACAGAAAAACAGTGGTAACGTGTAATACATATAAACAGTGATAACATGTTAGTTTTATAGACAAACAGTGGTAACGTGTTATACAGACAAACATTGGTAACGTTTATACAGATAAACATTTGTAACGTGTTATACAGATCAACAGTGGTAATGTGTCATACAGACAATCAGTGGTAATGTGTTATACAGATAAACAGTGGTAACGAGTTATACAGATAAACCGTGTGGTGTGTTATACAGATAAACAGTGCTAACGTGTAATACATATAAACAGTGTAGCGTGTTATACAGAAACAGTGGTAACGTGTTATACAGATAATCAGTGGTAACGTGTTATACAGACAAACAGTGGTAACGTGTAATCAGGTAAAAAGTGTAACTTGTAATACAGGCAAACAATGTATACATATAATACAGATAAACAGTGTAATGTGTAATACAGACAAACAGTGCTAACGTGTAATACAGGTAAAAAGTGTCATGTGTAATACAGGCAAATAATTGTAACGTGTTATACAGTAAAACAGTGGTAATCGGTTTCACAAATAAACCATGGTAATGTGTAATACAAATAAACAGTAGTAACGTGTTATACAGGTAAACAGTAGTAACGTGTAAATACAGACAAATAGTGGTAACGTATAATACAGACAAACAGTGGCAATGTGTTATACAGACAAACAGTGTTAACGTGTAATACAGGTAAACAGTGTAACTTGTAATACAGGCAAACAATGTATACATATAATACAGATACACAGTGTAATGTGTAATACAGGCAAATAATTGTAACGTGTTATACAGTAAAACAGTGGTAATCGGTATCACAAATAACCATGGTAATGTGTAATACAAATAAACAGTAGTAACGTGTAATACTTGTAAACAGTGGTAACGTGTAATACAGGTAAACAGTGGTAACGATTAATATAAGTAAACTATGGTATCGTGTAATACAGGTAAACAGTGATAACGTGTTATACAGATAAACGGTAGTAACGTGTAATACCGGTAGACAGTGGTAACGATTAATATATGTAAACTATGGAATCGTGTAATACAGATAAACAGTGATAACGTGTTATACAGATAAACAGTAGTAACGAGTAATACAGGTAGAAAGTGGTAACGATTAATATATGTAAACTATGGTATCGTGTAATACAGGTAAATAGTGATAACGTGTTATACAGATAAACAGTAGTATCGTAAAATACAGGTAAACAGTGATAACGTGTTATACAGATAAACAGTGATAACGTGTTATACAGATAAACAGTGATAACGTGTTATACAGATAAACAGTAGTATCGTGAAATACAGGTAAACAGTGATAACGTGTTATACCGATAAACAGTGATAACGTGTTATCCAGATAAACAGTAGTATCGTGTAATACAGGTTAACAGTGAAAACGTGTTATACAGATTAACAGTGATAACGTGTTATACAGATAAACAGTAGTATCGTGTAATACAGGTACACAGTGATCACGTGTTTTACAGATAAACATTGGTAACGTGTTATACAGATAAACAGTGGTAACGTTTCATACAGGCAAACAGTTGTAGCGTGTAGTACAGATAAACAGTTGTTACGTATAG